TTCACACAATACATTCACATACGGGCATTTCTTCAGAATCCTTTTTGGAGGTAGTTAAAACAAGTCACTGGCACATTATGATATAGATGGCTTCTTAATGGAAGGGAAGTTCATTTCACAGATAAGTAGTGGGGTTAATTTGATCAAGGTCACATAGAATGTCCATTTCTGAGCTGGAAATAGAACCAAGATCTAGGTTCTGTCTTTTATGTGGGACATGAAGAAAAGAATGTTTCATCTTGAAGCCATCTTTTCCTTTTTGATATACAAATATTTAAATATCTGGGCCATATAGTGTGCTCTTTTGCTATTATGCCGAGCTCAGAAGAACTCTGAAGCTCACTGTTTTACAGATGAGATTAGATTCAAGTCACTAATCCAGATAATCACAATAATCTTTGTTGGAGTTTGGAGCTATATCATAACAAAGAGCAAAACTGTATGGTCAGCAAATAGCTATCTTGAAATGAACTAAAAGTCCAGTTCAAATTTTGGAGAAACTGAAAAGACTGATGCAGACTTTCAATACTGTACATGGTTAGCTCATTGGACTATAACTCAACCCCACCCTTTGATGACATTTCATATCCTAAACAAAAAGAAACTACTTCCCTACTAAGTATTTGCCTGGAAAATACAGGAAAAGAGTATTAAGATATACATTTAAACACCTCAGATGAGCCTGACACAAAACCCTGTGGGTCAACTGACACATGAGTCTGTGTGACAAGTGACAAATGGCACTAATACTCAGAGATTCATATAACCTTTACCGAAAAAGCACACTTAGTTTTATTGGCAATTTTTCACTGTCACCCTCTTTTCATTGAAACTAGGCTAGATTCTACCATTCTAGGTAATCCTGGGATTCATTTTAGCATACAGCAACAGATGAAGTAAATACTAGAGTTGTTGTTCCTTTAAGAAAAACCTGCATTTTGCTTCTAGATTTTTTTAACCTGGAGCTTATTACCTCATGCACTTCAGTTCTCTCCCATAATTAAGTCTCAAAAACATGCAGCACTTTATGGATTAGAGCCATTACAAAGAAATTTTAAAAAGTGTTTACAGACACTTAAGAGTAAGTTTTAAGATCCACAACCCACTACTAACTAATAAGACAACTGGATCTATACTCACTGGAAATTTCCAAGTAATCTTCAAATTTTCAATCTTCATGTTGGACAGATTGTATATGAGCAGCACCCAGGAGATTCTCCTAGAACCAAAATAAAACCAAAAACTTAGCAAACAGGCAGCTGGAGTAGGACAAAATCTAGCTCGGGTATGATCTAATCCTGCTACAATACAACATCCAATTGCAATATGTACTTTGAAATTATTTATCCAAGAGAAGGCATTAGTTAGGCTCCGTCAAGCTCCTTGTTACTAGGCCACCCATAGTTACGCTAAAGTTGGCTTTACTGGCATAGAATTACCTATTTACCACATCAAAACAAATTTGAGTATTGTGGTTTAAATGCTTAGTAAAATTCACAATAAGGGATCCAGGGACTCTTAAATGATATAAGTGTCCAATCATCTTTGCAATCCATCCCAAGATACATAGAAGAATCACGCAGTAGAAAAGATGCATAAACACTGCCAAATCAGTTCACAACTACTTGACAGAAACCAGTTAATCTGCATCGTTTTAACAAGGATTCATCTCTCTCTTAATATATAGTATTATATATAATAATATTTACGTAAGTATACTATGTTTACACTGAAACCAAGCCATTATCACTCCATGGTAAAGCTGAGTTCTACTGTCCTAGCTAATTTTAGGCAGAACAGTTTGAAGACAAGCCACAAAACAATAAATGGGATATATGAATATAACCCACTGCAAAAGCATTATTGTCACCCTGATCTTTGGAACCTCATTGTCAATTACCATCATAATACAGCTCAGTATGATTATCACAGACTGGAAAGATGAGATTGGCATGACCATATAAGTTAATAATTTATTTTGATCCACCTAATTTAAAGATCAAACTTCAAAGTTAAGAAGTTTGTCCATTTTCAGTGTTCTGAAGCTGACACGCTGAAGAAAGCCACGAAGCCAAGAATACACACCCTTAGCTTTTGTGACTTTCATGCAACCAGCAATACTAAACCCCAAGTTTTTCAATGCACCATCTAAGCCAAAATTGTAGTTTTGAAAACCACATGAGGAAGAGGTAGACAGGAGAAGGAAAAAGGTCATGGAATATTCCAACATAAAAAAATAATCTATAAAAACAATTTTAATTTTACATTTAGAAGGAAACCCAGCTTTTATAGGAGCTCAAAAGAACTCTGCATAAAGTATATATCATATGATTCTAGTACACATAAGAAAAATGAAGTCAGATTTTAGTGCATTAATAGCCCTAAGTAACTCATGTAAATTGTGAGAGATTAAAAAGACAGCTGCTTGTTCTAGCACTGACATTCCGTCAGACCTCAGAGAAGAACAGTTCTTTATGCTGTCAGTGCTACACCAACAGAGACACCATGAAACTCATAAATATTGACCACCTGTGAAGATTCTTACTGAAGGATCTGTGGGGCTGATCTGAACAGAATCCTAAGGATTCATGCCCCAGTGAAAAGAAATGTTAAGGAAGGGAAAAATGGGACAGAAATGGAGCCACAAGCTTTGATATGAAGTTCAAGACACAGCTACTCACTGCTCCCGTGATGAAGAGGTTTGGAGTTGGCTGGTTAGTCAATTCTGGAATTCTAATATTTATATAGAGGAAGGACTTTTTCCTACCAAAATTATGCCTACTTCTTTGCAAATTTTATTTGAGAACTTTTACGTAAGTCAAGGTGATAAAAAACTGCATGAAAGTCTGGGAAGAAACTGCATGTAAAGACTACATAATGAGACCTAAGTGGTCGTCTTAAATAGATATTGTGAGGTACTTCCCTCACCGCCATTAACAGTAAACAGCATGAACTCCTTGCATCTGTCAGGCTTCTTTACCCTGCAAGATAGGAATATAAGAGGTCTGAAGAGGAAAGAACAGGTAGCTAGTACAGGAAGAATGTCAGGCTCTGCTTCTTCCTAGCCTTAGAGAAAAAAAAGCATTTCTAAGATGGAATATCATGGCTTTGAGGAAGGCAAACAACCGCAGCTGGAACAGCGGAAGTCAAGATGACAAGCTGCAGCCTGAAGAGGACATGCTGCAGCCTGAAGAGGACATGTGTCCACAAGCCCAGTCCTTGTTACTTGCAGATGAACCTTCCCACATGGAACAGGGACAGGGCTGTGGGCTCCTGCTTTCTCCCAGCTACAGCTGCACAGGCTCATCAGGTTAGTGCTCCAACACGTTCAGCGTGACCCCATGCTGGGGGTACTGCACCTTACAGCACATTCATTTGGCAAATGAGATTCTACATATTCCCCTCTCCTCCCCACACAGTTTAGGCAAAACCCCCAGGTTTGAAACATCTGCTGTCTAAGAGGAGGTGGCTCATTTCCAGTGAGATGAATTAGGAAACACTCATAAAAGGAGCTCTGTTGGCAGATCTGAGATAACCTCTGCAACTTACTACTGGGAGACTCATCTTGAACTGGAATAGCAGTAGTTGAAACACGAGGTGTTCACAGCTACAACAGACTAGCTTGCCACAAATCCCATCTTTCAAAAGACCAAAGGGTCTAGAAAAGTTAATTTTCACACTAATGCATGGTCAGCTTCTAGCACCCTGTTTTGGCTGCAAGTATGGCACCTTTCCGTACATCACTTGCAGCAATAGGAACTTATATTATATTTTCTCTTTTCATCAAGTGAGAAACACTTGTTGAGCTATTTTTCCTCTCCAGTGTGTTAGCCAGATTACTCTTGATTTCAAAATGAAGCTGACTGGAGTGAAAAGCCACACTATTCTGATATCCCTAGCAAAGTTCTAAACTTATAGTTACACTTCAGTAAAACCTCTTGTTCCCAGCTGCAACCCACATATGTAGAAGATTATGATGAGACACTGTTAAAAACTGGTAAGTAGCGCACAACCCATCACCTGTGTGCTAAGCAAAATCCAATTCAGCATTCAGGATTTACATTTACATTTTGAAGCTAACAAGTAGAAAAGCTGATGCCATCCATGCGAACAGAATAATTATAAACCTAAACTTGGTAAAGACAAAAGCTGGGTCAATAGTTTTGCTCAGTTTCAAGTAGCACCAATTAGAGGGGAAGGGAAGAGGGGGAAGAAGCATCAAAGTCAGGGAAGACTCATGTTCTGCATTATCCTTGAACAGGCAAAATCTGGGACCTATTGAAATCAAGCACATCAGGTAAATTCACTTAGATGCACATCTTTTTCTTTGTAGGAATGCGTTAGATACACATAGCATTCAATGGATATGTTATAATGAAGAAAATTTGTAGAAACTGCTGAGAATTTAAACTATATATTAAAAAGTGAGCACATGAATACAGAATATCATCCCAATTTTCATAGCTCAGCCCTAGACAAGAAGCAAGTGGATAGTTTTCTGAAACAACTTGCAGACATTCAGTAAATCCTCTGCCTCACTTTTATTGTGTTGAGCAGGACAGATGTCTACCAAATTGTAACAGAAAAAGTAGAGATTTGTGTTTGATTTGTTTGGTAAATCTGTTTCCTCCAGTTGCATAAAGACTCTTCCACAAGCATGAAGATACAACAGAGAGAGAAAATGTCAAGAAATTTTCTTACGTCTATTTATTGCTTTCACTAGATAGCTGATTTTTACTACAACTCAAATACGGTGAATAAAATTAATGGAGTAGCAATCCTTTATTAAGATGAGCAATAAAGATCCTGTCATGATTTGGAGGCAATAAGGGAGACATCCAGCAAGCAGTATGGTCGCAGTTGGAGATTTCTAAACTTCTCCTTGAAAAGATCAGTGCATCAGTTGAGCTTTAGTCAGCCACATCATCCTGTAAATTGCTTTCAAGATAAGCCAGTACATAAATTCTCTTTGAAAAGGTGTTACTTCAGTACAATCCTCCTACAGACAGAAATATGGCATTTAATGGTAGTTGGAAAATAGACAGAAATGAAAACTATGAAAAGTTCATGGAGACAATGGGTAAGTCTTACTTTTCCAATGCCTTCTACAAGAATAATGCCACTCTGGCTGAATACAAACTGAAGCTGTCTGTGAACTACTTTCTGGCTAGCCTATCCTTTTGGTGTCTGCTGCTCTGCCCTTGCACGGGGTACTGCATTTCTTTTCAAAAGATTCCACAGCGGGGAAAAAGACACTGAGAAATGTTCTGGTTTTGATTAATTATGTTAATCTTAAGCAATTTAACTAATTCGAACAGATTTATTTCAGCAGAGGAATGAATATCTAAGTCTACACTTGAGGAAAAGGCTCAGAGAATTTGAATTATAAACTTTAAGCAGAATTCTACAGCAGGAATATTATTTTGATAACAAGTTTAAAAATTACATGGGCAGGAAATAATAATTCTTCAATTTTACAGAAACACGTGATTTAAGTCATTTTAACATCCTGATACTTACTTTGTTTGTACAAACTGTGCATTATATGGATATAAACACAACCATTCCAGTTGGTTAGTGGTTTGTATTATATCTGTACTGGTGAATATGGCCTCAATAAAAAGTGAAGAAAAATAAAAAATTGTGTCAGAATGCTGGAATAAACTCACTTGACCACAAAAAAGTCACCAAAAAGAGTGTTTGCTCTAGGGTGGGTTTTTTTTTTCTGATTGATGTTAATTATTTTTCTAGGTGTTAACATGATGAAAAGAAAGTTAGGAGCCCATGATAATCTGAAGATCACTATTCAACAAGATGGAAACAAATTTACTGTCAAAGAATCAAGCAACTTCCGTACCATAGATATTGAATTCACTCTGGGAGTCAATTTTGAGTACAGTCTGGCTGATGGGACTGAACTTACTGTAAGGGACTTTCTATATAATTGTAAATGTATTATACAAGAATAACTTTACGAAGTACAATTTCAAGATGAATGATTTGTCTTCCTAGTTTTTAACTTAAATTTTACTTTTAAAGTGTGACTGTTCAAGAATGCTTGCAGCCTATATGCAAAAACACAAGGTAGTCTTAACTATTAATGGTTCCACACTGGACCGTGAAGCTCAGGGTTCCACAGAGTGCCCAAAAAGAAGAGTATGTAGCAATTTTCACATGATGAAATCCAGGTGATTGCAATTGCAATTGCACTTCTTATAATACTCAAGTACACCACCTAGAGTGCAGAGTGGGTATTTATAAGAAATTACTTTTTCTCTGTTGATACAATTAATTAAAACAATGTGTACTGAGCACTAAAAAAAAACCCAACTAACTTGACTGCTATGCAATTAAATAAGCTAGTGGTTTTCTTGAAATTTCATTTTTACAGCCTTTCCATCAATGTCCAAAAAAGTATTATTGCACTGTTTTA